ATACATATAAATATACATATATATATATACACACAGTATGAAGCCTTATAAATTTGTTAGCTTGTATCAAAGCTGTGGATGCACAAAAGTTCCCTTTAAAAAAAGGAAAAGTACTGCCAACAGTCTTGAGATGCTCTGTATTGCAATGCAGCTTGCTGATATGCATTTTGAAGGTTTGGTGATATCTGAGACAGCTCTGACCCCCCCCCCCCCCCCAAAAAAAAAAAAAAAAAAGGAATAATTTATCTCAAGCTGCCTCCTTATGCTTGCTGAGACTTGGTAGCGCAGGCAGACACTAGGAAGAGAGGATTTTTCTCCCCGTCAGAATAACACCTTGTCTCTGTGCTGAAACATGCTCTGCTGGAGGCGACGGCACCCATGGAAAAGAGTTTTGACACATAACAGCTGAGCAGATGTGGGTGGGAAGGTGAGACCTTCTGGGTTTTGTGTCATGAGAATCAGTCAGCATTTTTTAAAGCGTTTAGTTTGTACGTGTCGAGGAAAATGATGCATGTTGCTGAAATACATCACTCATCCTTGTGCTTTCACTGTGCCTGGTCATTGTGTGATATTTCACAAAAGAGATCAGTACAGACTTCTGAAGGAGATGATACTRACTAGCATCAAAAAATATTTTAACAATAATCATTAGATGTTTAATGTTTACGCATGACATGGACAGATAATTAATGTGCTCATTTGTGCTGATTTAGGCAGAACAGACGTGACAGCAAAATAAAAAGAAAAGGACCGAGCACACATCCCTGAGGAATGACCAGTGGTGGGCACCAGTCCGCTGAAGCGCAAATCCCCTAGTTGCGGACCTAAATATTTTGTTTGCGCTTTAGCGGTCTTACTAATTTTTATAATTCATAAGCAGATTTGTGCTTTCTTAAATTAAAATGCAGAACTGCTAATAACTAATTATCTACCAGTCACCAGTGTGGCTGTCAATGAATCACAACACATGTGATCTAACCAACAGCACGCCCCTCAGATAAACACACTTATTGAGAAGGTATGCATCTTTGCTGACTGTTGCTTTCGGTCACGGTTCTGATTTCCCACAATGCTTTGTGTCTGCTTACGTAGCAGGAAGGCAATAGCAAAAACAGTTAACATTTGTAATCCATACTAAAATTTTGTATGTATTGATTTATTTTACTTTACAATTGGAGCGCCTTTTTAAAAAAAAATAAAGTTTAAATGCTGGAGCTCTATACTTGACGTAATTGGTCGAAGCAATCGGCCAACGGGGTTAGAGACTCAGAAATGGCTTAAAGATATTATGCTGATGAAGACTGACATCTAGTGGTCAACACATGAAAAACTTTAAAATCCAAGCTCTTATTTTGAAGGGAAGATAGTTTCCTGAACTCCATGCTTCCGTTTCCTGTCACAAATCAAATCTGTCATGTACCCAGTATGCATTGCTTTAGTTTTCAAATAAACAGTTTTAAAATTACTTTATTGATGCTTCTTTAATGAAAAATCTACAACAAACAAAAGAAAAAGACAAAAAAGCAGCCAAACTAGCAATCCTCAACAACTTTTTAATTTTTACACCACGAGCTAAAGGTCTGTTTCAAGAAATCACATCCCCAGCAATCAGTGCTTATAGAATTAAGCTGTACCAGGGTTCATACATCGCTAGTTGGCAGTGTTATGCATGTATTGTACATGAATTGTTGCCAGCTAGTAAGTGTCAAATTGAACTTGCGCTTTAAAATTAGCTTCCGCCATATTTTCTATGGCATAAGCGTTTTTGAAGTTGCTGACCTAAATATTTTCATAAGTGCTGTAGAAATTGCGGAGCTAATTTTTGGATTAGCGCTGCCCACCACTGGAAATGAGCTGTGTGAAGCTGACACCCCACCCACGTCAAAAAAATCCATCAAATAGTCAGAGTCGTTAGTGCTCCGTTTGTGCAGATTTGTGCCGTCAAAAGTGTCGTTTGTGCAGTTTTGGTTTCCGAGATATTAAATATTATATTTTTTGGTCATCTACAGTTCACCATCGCCCCATATCGCTCCAAAAACAAACCAAAGTGGGCTAGGTCGTTAGTGCTCCGTTTGTGCAGGTTTGTGCAGTCAAAACTGTC